ATTCATTTACAACTAGCTAATAACAAGTTGTATCATAGCTTCCCCTGTTCAAAAGACTTGACCTTAAGTCTAAGGAATCTGAAAGTCAGGAAAACGCTGTTCAAAAGACTCAGCAGGTTCCCAAGTAGCCTCATATGTAGGAAAACCTTCCTAATGAACAAAGTATTGCACCTGAGCTCTATTCTGGAACTTAACCCCTTTCCTGTCCAAAATAACAGCTGGTTTAATCTCATCTGACCCCACAGTATGTCCTGTCCTTGAAACACCGGAGGAATGTGAGCAACTGAGGGAAGTTGTCCTCGAAATTGTTTAAGCGAAAAGTGTCATGAATCTTAGCTTGAGCGTGCAATTTTAATTTGTATGCCACCTCACCAATGGATGCCAATACTTGGAAAGGACCATAGTACTTATGAGAAAGCTTCTAGTTATTTCTTTTCTGGACAGTATGCTCTCTGTAGGATTGCAGCTTTAACCAGACCCAATCACAAACACTCCTCTGGTTGAGTCTTCATTCTGTTTTGAGCCCTCTCCAAGTGAAATTTAAGCTCAGAAATCATCATTTCTCTTCTTTGCAAACTTCTATCCACCTCATCACCTGCCAAATATGGTAAATGAAGGGGTAGAGGTTGATTATAGACAACCTCATAAGGAGTGAGTTGCAAGGCAGAGTGGTAATAAGTGTTATACCACCATTCTGCTAGGATGCTCTCCAGTCATACACCTCAGATAAGCCTCTAAACACCTGTTAACCACTTCTGTTAACCACCACTTCTGTCTGAGGATGGTAGCAGAAGTAGAAACTCAATTCCATGTAAAGAGAATAGCCCTTTCCAAAACTAACTCAAGAATGGATCTCTGTCACTCACAATTGATCTAGGTCGGCCATGTAATTTGAACACATTATCCAAATAACACTGAGCTACCTAAAAGGGTGAGCAAGAGCCATGAAATGGGCATACTTGCTGAGCCTATCAACCACCACAAAAATAACTTCATTTCCAGCTGACTTTGGCAATCCAGTGATGAAATCCATAAAAATGTCCATCCAAACCTCCACTGGAATTGGTAAAGGCTGTAAATGACCAAGGTAAGCTGCAGTGTCATATTTTGCAGCTTCACAGACAGTACAATTCCTCACAAACTGACTGACTGCTCTAGAAAGACCTTTCCAATAAAACATCTTTCTAACTCCTTTAAGAGTCAACTCCCTACCACTATGTACACTCTCAGGAAAATCATGATGCCAAGAGAGAATTTTGTTTCTTACTTGCATATCAGGACCAACCACAATCTTCCCTTTTCTTCTGAGTAAATTATTTTGCAATTGAAAACCTGGAACTTAATTGTCATCCAACCAGTAACTCTCTCAGAGAATGCAAGTTTGAATCAACCACAGATATTGCCATACACAGAATTTCAGCCCCTTGGACTCTAGATAAGGCATCAGCAGCCACACTGTTTTTGCCACACCTACATGGGATTTCATAGTCAAATACCATTAACTTGTATAGCGAGAATTGTTGAAATGGTGTTGAAATTTTCTAATGTAACTGGGCTCCCAGCCCACCAAATACTGCTCCCATTTTTTAACTGCAAAAACAATTGCTAGCAACTCCTTATCATATACTGACAACTTTTGCCATTTAGGCCCCAAAGCTCTCCTGATAAAAGCTAAGGGATGAATGTCCTGCATCAATACTGCTCCAATTCCAGTTTTAGAGGCATCAATCTCCAAGACAAATTGCTTGTCAAAGTCTGGTATTGCTAAAACTGGAGCTGTAACCATATAGCTTGCTCATTCCAATTAAAGCCATTTTTCTACAACTATCTGTCAATGGCTTGCACAAAAAGGCATAACCCTTGATAAACTTCCTATAATAGCCTATTAAGCCCAAGAAGCTTCTCAGCTCCTTGATATTTGAAGGTACTGCCAGCTACTAATGGCAGCAATCTTCTTAGGATCAGTTTCTACACCATCTTTAATGATGAAATGTCAAGATACTCAACCCTTGATGTGGCAAAAATGCACTTACTCTCCTTGGAAACCATATTATTCTGCTTAAAAAACTTCAGCTAGGTGTTGCCAATGGTCTGCCAAAGACTTGCTGTACACCATTATGTCATAAAAAGACCAAAACACACTTCCTAAGAAGTGGTCAGAAAACAAATTCATCCATCCCAAGCAGGAGCATTAGTTAAACCAAAAGGCATAACTAAAAATTCATAGTGTCCTGTATGGGTTTTGAATGCTATTTTTAATACATCTTCAACTTTAACCCTCATCTAGTGGTATCCTGCCCTCAAATCCAACTTACTAAACACCGTGATGAATTAGTTCATCAATGACTGGAATAGGAAATTTGTTGTTCACTATAGTCAACACAGAGTCTCCAAGTGCCATCTTTCTTTCCCACTAGAACCAAAGGTGAGGCAAAAGGACCCTTTGTTTCAAAGGATACCTGTAAGGCCTAATATTAACAAGTGTACTCCTGGCATCAAGGGAATTGAGTGATCAAAGACTCCCCTCTCAGGTTGTAAGTCTTTAGGCTCTTAAAAAACAACCTCATACTGCTCCTTCAAAGCTGAAAATTCTGAACACTTGAGTTGTCTTGTTCCATTTGCGTTATCACACTCTCCCCTTCTATGACTAACATCAAACAAAGCTGGACACCAGAATCTAACACCTTCCTTGTAGGGCTTCCCTCAATCACAGCCAGCTTCCTAGATGGCAATCCTTTAAGGATGAAATGCTCATTATGCAGATCAAACTCCATCCTTAACTTCTGAAAATCCCAATGAATAGGACCTAATCGTCTCAACCATTGAATACCCAAAACCATGTCACAACTGCCAATGGAATTAACAACACATCGGCATCAAACTCATGACCTTGCATGCCCCAAGTGAAACCTTTACACATTTGTAGACAAGGTATATGATTCCCAACAGCTACAGACACAGTTTGAAAAGGAATTGGACTTAGCTAACACCCCAACTTGCTTGTAACATTGACATCAACAAAGTTATGGGTACTGCCAGAGTCTATCAAAATATATAATCCTTCCCATTCACCTGTCATTTTACTCTCATGGTATGAAAAGACTGATTACCAGCCAAAGCATGGACTGTAATCTGTGGGTCAAATTCAGATTCAGCAACATGGTCAAACTCCTCTTCATCATCTGAGTCCATATCACCAGGAATTTCAACTGTAAAAAGTTGTGGTTTCCTAAACTGACATTTATGCTCCCTGTTACAAGGTTGGTCACCATAGTAACACAACCCTTTAGCTATCTTTTCCCGTCTCACATCTGCTGGAATGTGTTTGTAGGTTCTTGTGTTTGTTTGGGCTTAGGTTGAAGAAGAAGGAAGGGGTTTAGTTCGAGGTGTTGGCAACAAAGGAGGTAAAGTATTGGTTATAGGTTGTTTAGGGGTAAAAGAATACTTGGATTGTTTGTAATGTACAGCAGCAGAAGTGAGAGTTTTTTCCTGCAGCCTCGCATATTCGACAGCCGAGCAATACTAGAGAGCTTAAAGGCTTTAACAAAGGGTTTTACAGCAGGTCTTAAACCACCAATAAAACTCTCAAGGATATAAGAATCAGGTAAACATGGCTATTCATCATCATACTAAGATTCTCAAATTGATCTACATAATCTTCAATTGAACCCATTTGCTGCAATCTATTAAAGTGCTCTACCACATTCATTCCAGAATCATCCTTAAATCTTGCATACAAATCAGCAACAAAATCATTCCAATCAACAACAACAGCTCTCGTAACAGACAAATAATTCATTACCCAATTCTCAGCTTTGTCAATCATGTTTGCAGAAGCTAAATCAACTTTTTGTTCATCTAAAATCTTGAATAGATTGAAATATTTGCAACATTTCTTGACCCAAATCCTAAGATTACTCAATTGAATTTAGGAAATTCCAAATTAGGGTTCATACCTAAGGTCCTATTCAAGTCGTCTGAAGAAGACGAAGGAGAAGAGGAATCAGTACAAGATGATGAAGAAGGAGCAACTCTCTTAGCTCGAATCGACTGCATCAACTTCATTATTTCCTCCATTCATTGATCGATTTTGAAATTTTGTTCGTCGAGTCATTTTTCCAAGTTCTTGATGTGAACTTCCATTGCTGCTACTCGTTTCATTAATGGCGGAGGCGCCAGAATCTCTTACTGATAGAAACAGTAAGAATGATGTGATACCAATGATAAGGAAGGAAGCTCAGAGCTCCTTTAATGGCGGATTTCTGGGTTTGATTGAGAAAGAAGAGAGAGAAACCGAGCAAATTGAGAAGAAGAATTGATTTGTGTATTGAATGTGTATTCTGTTATGTTTATTACAATGATTATATTAGTGGAATCCACGTCATCTTTCCACTCACATTTCACCCAATTATTCTAACTAACTCCTTTAATTAACTAACTCTTCCACTAACAACAGTGTTACAGGCTGTAACAAACTATTAACACAACAAAAACATGATTATTTCTATTCATTTACAACTAGCTAATAACAAGTTGTATCACCCTGTCCCTTGCTGTTTTGTTTGTGTCTCCTCTCATACACCTTGATTGGTGGTGGTTGGTGTGCTTCAACTCGTTCCATTGCAGAGGATTACTATATTATAAACTAATTCATTTAAGTTTCCAAAATAGGCATTAAACAATTATATGCAGAGTGCAGACTGCAGAGAGACAATCGCCAGCCTGGCAGGTGAACATAGCGTAGTCTTTGGTGAGCTAAACCATCATAGATTTCAGAAGTTTTCAGTTTACTCAAGAAGACGACAGAAGCAGAGAAAGACAATTGATTTTCCATGTCATTATTTAAAGAATAATCATGCTGGCTAATGCAACTAGGTTAGGACACTTTCCTTGTACAGCCAACAAGGATTATCAGATTTCAAACATTGAATAGCAGAAAATTTACAGAGGGAATATTATTAATCTGCACCGATGTGATTAGGTATCTGTGGAAACTTCACCTGGGAGCTTGACTCAATATTGAGTAATTTATGGAGATGACCGACACTACCACCCTGTAAACCAAAGTGCTAACTGATCAGTACAGCTTAATTCTATAAATCATGCAAACCCTAGACCAAAAAGAAACCACATATGTATTGTCAAAACACACAACACATCAGCATGAGGTATTGACAGGGTACCTGGAAAACTCGGCAAGCATAGTTCAGTCCATTTGTTGCTGGCTGTAGCACAGTACTTCCGACCTGTATTAATTCAAATGATAAACAATATATTAATAAATTAATAAATAAACCTACAACGGGAAAGCTAAAACTAAAAACTTCTTGTACTCACTTGAGTCATAGGTGTTCCATTGTCAGTATTTAGAAGCATTCCAGAATCAGGCACAACCTCAAAAAGGTTAGCCCGGTTGTCTTCATGGAAAAAGCCAGGCTTTGCACTATATACGAAAACATCAAATCATTGGTATAAATGCCACAGAACCAATAATATAGGAATAATAGATTTCAAGTAAGCCAAAACTACTTACTTAATTGACCAAATAATGAGTATGTCCCTTTCTTAATTTACAAGGTATCCAGTGGTCAAAATTCAGGTATATATTAGTCAAAGAATGCTTGGTTTCATTAATGTTATGTGCAGTTTTTTTTATTTTTTTTTTTATTAGTTCCATCTTCTACTTTCATAACCCTTTAACATGGATTGTTCACATACGTCTTTAACTTGAATAGTTATCATACCTCTTTAACTCAAATTATTATCATAGCCTTTCATCTTCTAATTTCACACTATATATTTATATACCATAAATTCATTAGCTTCCAATTTAATGATTGGAAATATTCTCACTTTATATATCACAAATATTCTCACTTTATATATCTAAGCACATTAGATTTTTTTTTTATTTTTTTTTTTAATAATCGAAGCACATTAGAAATATCGTATACTTTTTAAAATTTTAAATATTACTAAATAAAAATTTAATATGGTATTGTCATTTTATGAAGTTACATGACCCTTAAAAACAGTAGAAGAGCATAGTGCATAATTTTGTTCAATTGCACAGTAACAAAACAATGATGCATACTCATTTTGAAGGCAACAGAAAAGATGAAGAAAATTTTGAGAAGAAATTATAAATATAACCTGCCAGTAATAATGACATCAAAATACTTTAGCCAATCAAAACTGAGAGGTGCACTTCCATTTCCAGTTCCTTTCCGACAGAGAAAATTCATCACAACATTCGTGTAGTCCCACAAACTGGAAAAAGTAATAAACAGATGTCATGAAAACAGAACAAGTGACTAAACATACCGCATACCAAGGTTTCCTCCCACTTTTAATCTTTTTACTTGTAAGCATGGGAATGATAAGATCTGTATGTCAATAGATTCAGAGGAAAAATATATGACGTATGCATGATATCATACATTGCAGGTATTTCTTGTATCCACTTTTTCTAGTCCCAAATTGATTTGTGTTCCTTAAATTCATAGGGGTAACTTTACTTTTCATTGGGATCACTATGACCAATTGAGCACCTCATGAAACTTGTTGTAAAACCATCTCATCCCGCATACAAATATATAATAATGAGGGTAATTTGATAGGTTACATAAAGCCTAACTGCATTACATCACAGAATTAGAAGTTCTTGCAAAACATGACAAACAAATATCACTCAAAAAATAGAGGAACAACAATATCAAGTTTATCAGTTCAGATAGCTTAGGAAGCAAATAATGACTGGGGGTAGCATTTTAAAAAATGAGCTGTAAGAAAGCGCCTATGAAGCAAATTATCGACTGTTGAAAATGTAAAGGGTTATTGGAAATGTGTTTGTTGACATTTGTGAGGTGTCTCAAAATGCCAAAGGTGTTTAATACAAAATTGCTGGAAACAGAGGCTAATAAAAAAAATTTAAAAAAAAAAAAAAAAGGTTGTCTATGGAGAAAATCCTACGTAGTATTAAATTATGCTAAACAGGCGTCAAAAAAGCCTACCTCTCTCTCCCTGTACTCCCATTCTCTCTTCTTTATACAGGGTTCATCCTATAATAGGAATATTGCCGGAAAACAATAAAAAACAACTATGGCCTATGGCTTTATGACAATGGTTTGTGATGTGTGAGGGCTTGGCTTCAGCAGCACTAACAAGGTCTTTACATCAAAGGCAAAACATATATTCTACAACAAGAGAAAGTAAAAGTTTTAGGCCACATTTATTTCGACGAACAACATATTCTTAAAAAAAATTATTAACCTTTTTTTACTGTTTGGTTTGTAATGGCAGAAAATAATTATCCCAAAGGTGGAAAATAGTTTTCCCAAGAGTGGAAAACATTTGTTATTTTTACATTCCTCCTTACTACTAAGTCCTAACATCATTTTTATCCTCCCTCAAAATCCCATTCAATTTCCCTCTAAATTTTTTTGTAAGGAAACAAAGGAACACTAGTTCACAATTAAGTTTTCTAGTAAAAAAAATTGTTTTCCATTTACATTTTTCCTGAAAATGCTTTCTATTAAAATAAACGAAGGCTTAGAGTAAAAACAAAGCATAGGGCATAGGATGGTCAAACAAAATAAGGGGTGATTAAGAGTTACAGAATACTCTAGAAGATAACAAAACATAGGACACATGATAGAGATACAAAAAGAAAACAGAGGGGGAATTACAAGTATTAGAATACTCTAACAAAAAGGACAATTGGCCTTTATTTTTTCCTAATAATAAACTCTAATTAAAAAGTTGGTAAAATAGTTTATTTCATATTTAAGAATAACTTTTTCAAGGTGATCAGATGATGTAGGAAAACGAAAAAATATACATCTTTTTAGTATTAGTTTCACATATCCTACTATCTTTAACATGCCACATCTGCATTTCTGTTTCCATGCTATGCAGCATATAGCCAGCTAGCGAAGACAAAATCCACATTTCCTTAATAATTAGGACATTAATAATAACTTCAAGACCTCAGTATTTTATTATTCTGACAGCTTATTAACTTTATAATCTATTTAAGATAGGAACTATTACCTATTTGTCACCAAAAAGGTTGAACGACCTGAATCTCTAAGCATTTCTAGCATCGGTACGATTGAAGTATCATCAATAATGTACCTGATACACAAGTGGCAGCAGCAAATTACTCAGAACAAGTCCATAGGAAGGCAAGCGCAGTTTGATTTATTTTTAAAGGCATGCGTAAAATACTAAGCTGCAATAATTACAAAGTAAAACATAAAATATAACTCTGACAATATACAGAGGTTTCTGCAAAAAAGTAACTTCCTCAGCCTACAATTATACAGATACCCTCTCATAAGGTTGATTTTCTTTCTCTATTAAAAATCTTAAAGGTGAAGCAGAGCCTAGGACACAAGATTATTAAAGCACCATTAAAGGCCATTTCGTCAATCAGCCTGTTTTGTCCATCAGTAATAATCACCAAGGCCGCCGTAAGGAAAAACAAAAGTTTCAGGTTAGAAAAACATAATGAATAACTTTGTTTTACTAATGTGTTTGGTTGGGTTATTTTTTAAATTGATTTTCCCCGTTATCACCTTTGCTTTTCCAATGGACCCCGCTAGCTAGATTAAAATAAATAAAAAAAAGTGGGGGACTTCACGTAAAAAGAGGCACCACCTGATTCTCCAAAAAGTAAGACATAGGTGGAGCAACGGAAGGGCTTGGAGTCCCCAACCATACAAATCTCATTGATCATCCTATGCCAGGAAACAACCACATATTTTAACAAAAAGCTCCATAGAATGGAACCATGAATCAGATAAGTTCCCACACAATCCCAATTAGATGCTCTGCGTCATTTATTTCTACCAACAATAAGTTTTTCAACCCTAATGCCTCTCGGCTACCATAAATAAATGCATCTGTGGATGATCTCGATAAGAGACATTAAGAGCACGCACAATATGCCATATTCGGCCCATGCAAGGAAATACTTTATCATATAGCATTGAGCATACCTAAAAATTCAATCCTTAATACAGCTACTATACAAAATAATGAAGAGCCAAAGGAGCATCTTACTAGAAAAATATTAATTATATTAAAATTGAAACCTTTTAATTTATTTGATACTACCTAGGGTTTGTTTGTTATCGTTCTTTTTTTACTTTTTAAAAAATAAAAAACCAAAAAACATGAAACTAGAAAAGGTGGTTTTCACTTTTATGTTGTATGTCTTATTAATTGCCATGATTTCAATAAGTTAGACGAATTTTAGATTTCTTTTATATGGGTTGTGTTTGGTAAACAACTTATTTGAGCAAAATTAGCTTATTTGACCAATATTAGCTTATTGACTATTAAATAAGCTAATTCAAGAGGTTTGTTGGTAAGCTTATTTGAAGAACTTATTCCACTAAATAAGCTCTTTTTGAAAAAGCTCATTTTAGGAGCTTTTTCAATTAGCTTATTCATTAATTATTGTGAAATGACACTTATAACCTCATTTAATTTAAAATCCTGTCTAAACTAACTACCCCACAATTAGCTTATTGGTCATTTCACATACTCAGTCACCTTTAAGCTATCAGCTATTTACCAAACACTTTTATACAATCAGCTAATAAAATAAGTTAGTCAAATCAGTTAATACAATCAGCTAGTCAAAATCAGCTAACATAATCAGCTTCAGCTTTCAGCTTTAAGCTATTTACCAAACACGGCCATGATACATCATGACTTTAAAAAATAAAAAATTAAAAACTGCAGTAATACCAAACAGTCCCTAAGTTATTTTAAAAGTTTCAAATGTTTCAACTCATCTGAATTTTTATTGCATTAAAAAAACAAATTTGAGAGCATGCACATAATATGTACAGATATTGATATAAGATTCCTGTTTCCGGCCTAATTTGGACATAAAGCATGGAATGAACAAAATTTTCCCAAGTACATCAATAACGCTTAGTTAAAATTTGCTCTTTTTGAAGTAAAAATTCTAAGTTCCTGAATCCTGCTGACATAAGCCTCACTGGAGACAGTTTCTTTTCTGGAATGAATTTCCTTATATGGAGCTGATTAGGTTCTTAGGAAACCTGTGTGTTCCCATTAACTTCACTAAGCACTTGCAGCTTCACTACCTTGCAATGACACAGGTAGAAACAAGTTTTCTACAATAATGACAAAATGCCAGACTATTCACATGTTCACCCTGCAGCCCCACCACCCCCCCCCCCTCCTCTCCTGAAACCCCTAAGATCACTCCTACAGGTACAAACCAACAATTCATTGCAGCAAATATATTTCCATAAGCTCGACACAGTCAAAAGCAAAAGAACATTAGCATACAAGATAACAAAGGTCAGGCAGAAAAAAAAAAAATTCATAAATCCTACTAATACCAAATATTTAAGGAGTAAAAGTTTTGGGGCTGAGATGGATCCTTTCAACAACTTCAACTTATAGAAAAAAATAAGACAATATATAACCTTTCAGGATCTTTGGCAACCATCTGCTTTAAGGTCCCATCACGATGACACAGATCAACAGCAGCTCTAACATCCTTGTACATACGAGCATAACTGCAGACAATGTCCAAAAACATTTTATACAATCAAAAGTAGCTAAGTTTCATAAATTCTTTCTCAACACCAGGTCCAGAATCGCGCACACACAACTAAAAATGTCCGTAAACTTACTCAGCTCCTGCTGGGACTCTTCCAGGATTTTTGTCCTTGAAATCAACTAGCTGTGCAAATAAATAGGTCTCTGCTAAGGAAAAGAGTGTATCGATGAGGGCGTAGTCAGGCTCGTCAAAGGAATCTCTTGTCAAAGTATTCCCGTAAGTTTCAACTTTTTCTTCTTTAGACATCTCTCTAAAGCCATGGTATGCTACTTTCACGTATTTATGTCGATCCATCTGCAATAGAGTAAGGTCAAATACCACTTCAATGTGCAACACAACGTATTAAACCCATTCCAATGCAATTTACCTTCAAAATATTGCCTCTCTTTTTATCAAGAACCAAACCTCTAACCATGTACTTTGAATCAAAAGACCACTGCAACAGCTGCAAGGAAATGACAATTGTATGACAACTTGTTACACTCAATTTATACCATAGTTAACGGAAACCAAAAAGAACATGCCATAGGGGAAAAAAAGCCATATGGGGTCTCGTTAAATTCGTCTCAATGTACGCTTTCTAAAAATCAAACTTATTTTACAAGTATTATTTCCTATTGATAATTGAAGATATTGATGTTTGAAATCATGCATTAGCACATGTGCCTAAACAAAAGTGTCAGCGAATATGGACAGAGGAAGTATTTGACAAGGATAAGGAGTTCATGCACCCATATTAATTATTTTATCTTTACTAGCAATTTGCTTTAGACACAACCTTTCAACAAAATCAGTCAAAAGATATGCATTTAGAAACTGAAGTCAAAACCGATTAGTGTCAAATCCCTAACTTCAACATAATGATCCTTATTACGCGCTATGGGTGAAAAAGCTACTTAAATAGAACAAGCACTAACAAAGCCAAATGTCTTCTTTCAAAAAAAAAAGAAAAAAAAAAAGGAAGAAGAAGAAGAAAAAGAAAAAGAAAAAAAGCATATATCTCTATTTAACCCTTAATCCACCAACCCTATATTTTAATGTGGAGAAGATAATAAAAGAGGCACATCTGTACAATAGATGAATTATTCCAAAATCAATTTTTCAAAATCAAAATGTACTTATCCAAAGCAGCTCTAGGATGTATATCTAGAAATTCTACACCAAGACAGGAAAGAAACCTAATCCAGGATACCACACTGGATGTAAAATGATACAGAGGGAACTTCCAAAGTAAATAGCATCTAAGGAGCATACCAAAGCCCCTTGCGATCCCCAAATATCAGTCTCACGTTTCCATACCCACCAAGGCTTACAGGCTTCCAGCCATCAGCAAAATAAAGCACCATTCAATAACATAGATAAAATGGCAGTTGGTAACACCACACTCAAAAGGATTTTCACACCCACTAATCTGAGAGAGTGAGAGGACAAGACTAAGAGAAGACATTGGTGATATAACATTCAGTGATCACAGTGCACAATATTTAGAACAAAGAAAAAATAAAACTGCAATTCTTTCCACATATAAAAATACTGGCAACAATACAAGTTTACACTTAAGTACAATTTCTTAAGTTTAACAAGTGATGTTTAAATTATTTCCTTTCATTCTTCCTGATGAATAGTATCAACCAAAAAAATTTGGTAAAGAAAGCTTATTATACATAGCATAATTAATTTAGTAATCACTCAGGATTAGGCAAATACATTTTTACAGACAATAGAGACAGAATAATCCCTATGTCTAATATCTTTAATTTATAATTTCTATAATAAGGTGAAGCCTTTGTTAAAAATAGACAAATTAGATTACTCAGAGATATATGAAATAATAGCCTAGCAAGAGTGCAATCAAAACTTGTACAAATCAGTCCCAAGCGGTAGTTTCTGCCACAAAAAAACTACTGGAGACATAACAGCTTTATTGATAAGTAGAAACATGAAATGCCCAAAGTTGCAGAAAATGGACGTCAAAATCTGCCTCACAAAAACAACTAATAAAAAACTTCAGACAAACCTCAGGAGGATATCCCAAGTCAAACACAAGCTTCTTAATGGTCCCTTCATATGCAAGGGATTCAAATGTCTCTGGCTTGTACTGTGCTAAAGTATAGTCCATATCAAACCCAACAGCAACAATACTTTTCATGTTCAAGGATCTATTGCAAAAAATTTGTTTTCCCAGCGGAACGTTAAGGTTATCTCCGCCTGATGTGGAAGACCAGATACATGGACTTTGACCAACCTCACTTTGAAATCGTGCTTCTTTGTACTGTTCAGCAGTCACATTCCCATCCATTGGAGAACCACTGCGCAGCTTACAAGATCCTGATAAGAATCAAAGATAATAATAAAATCAGGCAATATGACAGATCAATAGCCATAAAAGATGAACAGCCTATAAGAGCAAAAATAGTATAACTTGATACAACAAAGCCAAATTTAAATTCAATAATCTCAAAAATCAAATGTACTTTGAAATGATAATTCAATAAACAATATTAAAACATTCTATCCAATGTCATAATTTCCTCAATCCCCGAAAGACTCATTTTACCTTCAATCACTTCCTCCAAACTTTCTAAGGTCTTCTCCATCCATCACTTTGCCACTCTTCAAGCCTACTTACTAAAGCCTCACTCATTCTCTGTCTTAAATGGCCAAAGCATCTTAGGCTATTCTCACACATCGTGTTCTCAATAGATGAAACCCCTATTTTCTTACTGTCCATCTCAATCCTAAACAGATCCCTTCTTGTATGGCTGCACATACAACACCAATTTCTTAAAAAAGCTCTCACTTTATGAGAAACCCTTGCCTTCTGGATAATTTTGGCCACCAAAAAAATCTGGAAACTGAAATGTTTGGGTCAAGCAAAAAGGAAACGAGTAAAAGACCCTAATTGTAATACCCGAATATTTTATGATTAATATTTTATATTTATATAATAGATTTATATTATAAAATAAGTAATTTTTAATTATCCTTAACTTTCCATAGTTTGATTTTTATACTTTGGAAAGTATAAAACCTAAGTTTATATCTTATAGGACTCTTGTTGTTTACGAAACTATAAATACTCCTTATTCCCTAATTAATTTCAGCTTTGCCTCCACTCCAATTGATCTTTTGTAGCTAAACCAATTTCCTCAAATTTCTTTCGCAGATTATTGTACTTTTGCACCAATTCCTTTGCAATGCAAAGCAACAATTGGATTTTATACAATCCAAGTCAACCCATCATTGTAATCTAATCATGCGAGTAGCAAATATACGCCCATACATAATTTCATTACCACCATCATGCTGCTGACCAATTACTACAGCTAGGACTTTGCAATTCATTTCTTTTGTCGAGGAATTGTTTCCGGAAGGTAATCACACTGATCTTCTTTGGAGTTGTTTGTATAACTGTTTTATATTATTATTGTATGATTTGCTATTCTTATGCTTGAGTTTAATTTATATGTATGATTAATGTATACAATTTTATTATTTGATCATATTTAATTTTCTTATTATTATTGTTTTATATGATTGATCTTGTAAATATGCTAGGTTAATGTTGTTGTTCGAGGAAGTATTGTTTTGAGGTTTAGAGTTATTAATGCAGAGTATTATTTTTAGGTTGTGAGTTAATTAATTTTGGGTACTAGTTTGATTGCCCTAAGAGTTGAGATATTTATAAATTGAATTATTATATTATTTGGGAATATGTGCCATTGTTAAGATATTATCTATTAGTTGTGAATGATTATTTGATCGATGTATGAGATCAAAAGGTTGAGAATTATATTTTGTTCTTGGTTTAAGACTCGGCGATTATTACCTTAGTCCTTGGCATAGTGGTAAGGAGATGATAATCATCCGTTAAGAATGAGGTACAGTCTTTATTTATTATTTTCTATGGTCCCCTATAGTGGGATTTGGCCCACATGTGGTATGATTCAAGGTGTTTTCTAGTTATTGAAAGTATTCAAGTTTTTTATATACTTATTGGTTTGTTATTCAAATTACTCATGTCCAAGCCTAGGTATAGAACTAAGAGCACGACACACTTATGTGATACATGAGTTAATTGAGTAAAAGATCATATTATTATTCGAGGTTGGATTTGACAAAGGTTGCTTCCAGAGTACAATGTGTAATGTAGTTTTAAACTGCATTATTTAATTGAGCTAGTAATGCTGATTATCCTATTATTCTTTGTACTATGATATGTGATTATTACTTGGCTTTTTGGTGACGTGTGTATTGTTTTGTTGTGCTACATGTGTTTGCGGCCATGTCTTTTTCATATAGTGGCCCTGCGACGATCTATTTTGGAATTTGTCTTTAATGGTGATAGTCAAGATTTTCTAAGCAGGTTTAATAAAAATAATCGTAGCTAAAGGAGCTCAAATGTTTCGATTAATATGTTATAACGAGTTTGTAAAGTTGTATAAATAGCTCACCAAGTTTATTGAGTTGTAATTTTTGGCATTTGTAAGCCTTAACACTTGACAGTGTGGCGGTGATACCCCCGATTTAGGTGTATGATTCCGCAATTTTATTAAAAGGTTGTCTATTATTCTTTTATTAATTGTTTATTATTAGTTAGTAAATTGGGGGTGTAACACTAATGAGTACCCCATCCACACCAAAGAATCTACTACGGCCGCTAATTGAAGATCCAAAGCCTGTACGAAAGACATAATGCACTGACTCCCTATCATGTAGGGGGCTTTGAAAATGCAACTCCCAAGCATTATTGCAATGAAAATTAGAAGACAAATGTAATCACAAAGAGAAAAAAAAAACATAAAAGCTGACCACCTCTCCAAATATCTTGCCATAAACGAATTCGTTAACCATACCCTATTTTTAATCTCACTAAAGAAAAGAAGAAAGTAAATACATGTGAAATCAACTTCTAAGGGTACAGACATGTCAACATATGTCACTGTATAACTCAAAGTCAAAGGGACTCAAAATCAAAGGAAAACGCCACAATCATTTCCTACATGAGTAAGTTCGCTTCTTAGGCAATGGTCACTATACTATGGCGCAATTCTTGATTTGAGATCTACACAATCACTGAAGTTCTTCAGTTTGTTATTATTATTCTTTGATTTCATTGGTATTTACCGACAATTGTTTCCATGTCCAAATTTTTAGGTCTCATAGTCTTTAATAATTGGGTATTGGCTGGTACCCATCAGCCTTAACTATGTCTAAGAAATAAAGCCCTACAATCTACTCCAAGGAGACTTAGCTATAACGCAGCAGCATCAGCTATGTAGTACTGAACAAATTCATCATCTCAAGTTCTAAACAATAACAATAAGTAGGGTGATATTTATATCTTAAAGCTACTTGGAGAATATGAGATAAACTCTATGTCCAAATACCACTATAACTGCAACTCACCCGATACTAACAACTAAAATGACAAGACATACATGGTACAAGTATTTCCTTATATAAAAACCTATAAAAGTAAGAAAAAGAACCCTAGATGACATAAAAGGAAAAATAATACTACCTTCGTTAATTATTATGTGCAACTTTGGGATATTTTATATCTCACAGATAATACCCCAAGAATGCACATAACAATTAATGGAGGTTGTAGCAATATTCCTAGTTCATTTTTTTAGTCATCAACTATACACCTCTCCTAACCCATTTTAAATTAAAGATCCATAATCAATACAGATTTTAAAAAAAGAGCACTCATAGAGTAGTAGTTATCTCCTATATTACTTAGACTCTTCATTTTACCTCAAGTACCCGTGTTTAACACTCGCATGGGTATGACACTAGGATACTTCATTTTAGTTCAAAATCATATAATTTTTTTTTCACAAAATAGCCGAGTTAGCCACTTGGACACGAATTCGTGTCGGACATGGGTATTTGAGTCCGAGTAATATAGGTTATCTCATTGAACAATAATGGGGAAAGAAATATCAAAGGATAAAGATAGGTATCTACTGTAACATTCTAAATGACCCAAACTTCATAAGCTACATTCCTAATGATGAAAAAAAAAGAAAATATTTCCTTTGTCAACAACAAAAAAAAATATATATAATAAATAAATAAATTCAAGCTATAGGTCCAACAAAAGTAAATGCAAAAGTTTCTAAAATATCATTGACTTGTGGCTGGTAAGGAGCACTAACTAATCTAAGTTTCACTTTTGTGAACTAATAGTAGGGAAGAGAATCATATATAGGAGATCATTGATATAGGCCCCAGTTGCTATTAGATTGGTGTTTTAATCCAATCAAAACTAATTCTATGGCAAGGGGTATCTTGTGATCAAGCCAAGAAGCAAGTTTCTTTGCAAGTATCCCCCCTCTTTTGTGATATAATCATGAGTACCATAATACGGGACAAAGATGATTTGCTCAGAAAGTTTAGGAGAAACATAGAGCACAAATAACATCCTTTCTAGCGCACAAAGAGAGTAGATACTAGACATGGGACGAATTGACAAATACAGCCATAATAGTTTCCCATGTATTAGAAAGAAAAGCTACTTTTAACCTAGCAAAACTAAAGGGAAATTTATAGCAACTCCATTGGCATTTATATCTATCAATGATACCTGACAAAAACAGTGACAACCATTATCAAATGACAACAACCCCTTATCCTGCAACCGGCATTTAGCACGAATTGGAAGTTTTTCATACCAGAAATGTATTCTATCAACTATTCTAAGATTATTCCCTACTTTAATTCAAACCATAACTCCAACACTAGTCCAAAACTTATCAAATCATATCAACAAAAGCAATGAAAGTCAACAAAATGAAAACACAGACTAATAATAGATATCTAACAATCATCAAAAATCAAGTAATTTTCACTGTACTGTTTCCAATTAATAATTATGTCACTATGAACCCTTTATTTCAACTCTAAGTACCGGTGTCGGATACTCCACAATACGAAAAACAATATAATAGACATTTTCACGTATTCATGTCCGACATAAGTACCCAAATCCAAGAAACATAAATTAGACAAAAAAAATAATAATTAAAATAAAAATAAAACCAATAATTCAACATTAATTTATCTTGACTCGACAATTATTGCATCAAATTTCCAAGATTAATTCAAAAACTACAGAAAATTGGAATTTCAACTAAAATCAACCCAAAAAATGCAATTAAATAACAAAAACAAGCATAAAATCACAAAATAATAAACCTGTATGAATTTGATTCCGCTTCAGAAGGATAGGGAATCCGGAACTAAACCTGACTGTAAAGGAAGAAACAGCAAGAGAAGATGACAAGAATTCGGAAGGAAGATGAGATAAACACAACGAAACGTTTCTCTTGAAAATTCGCATTTTCTGATTTATATAGACATTATAATTATAATTATAATTAATTTTCCATCTTTGGGAAATTGAAAAAAAATTTAAAAAAATAAATAAAAAATAATAATGACGGGCTGATAAGTTGGTTGGATGAATCAGATGCTAAAGTAGGAAATTTAAAGGGATTTTTGTTGATTAAAAATGTGATGAAATAAATAAAATGGAATTATAAAGGGAAAAGGTTTTATCCAAAGAATTTATTCGAAAAATGGTACGAGAAATTGGAGAAATTGTTGTTGCTACTGTTGTTCAAATTGAGCAAAACCAGGGGATGCTATTTATGAATGGGTTGACAAAATATAGAGTGAAGCCACGTTGGAAATGGAACACGTAGATGAGTGGATAAAAAATAAAAAATAAAAAAACAAATTAATCTCTCCGTTTCATAATGTTAGTCACATATACTATTTTGGGCATATTTAAAAAATATAAGTTGTGAATTGATAGCATGAAATTCGCATTTTTTTTTAATTAATAAGTTGTGGATTGATAACCCTAGCCTCTCTTTCCTCTCTTCTCCTTCTAAAACCCTAACCTCCATTGTTGAATTTTGGAGGGGCTTCCATCGATTTTTATCAGTGGAAAGCCCCAATTGTTTGTTTTTGTGTGCTTTTTCTATTGTTTTAGGTTTATAATAATAATTCTTCCTCTTATAGGAGGAATATTTCTCCCTCGAAAGACAGGGTTTTTCTTCTTCTTTAGGAAGATTTGGCTCCTTCGAAAGACCGGGTTTTTCTTCTCTCTTTTGAGGGAGGATTTGCATTTTTTATTTTATGGATTGCTATAGAGTTGTTTCATGGGTAAAATTTTGTGCGAGATCGAAAAAGAGGTTAATATGTCGATTACAATCTAGCGAATCAGACGAAAATTTTCTGCAGGGCTACAACAGATCGATAGACCCCCTCACCAATGAAGGCTGTAAATCACAGTGATATGAAAGAGGGTATGAAGAATGTACGATTTGCAACAACGATCGTAGCTTTGCTTATAGAATGTTTTTATTTCGGCGGAGGCCTGACCTGTTTTTGAAGGGACCGGGGCATCTGCTTCCCGTCCTGTAAACGAGAAAAATATAAGTTATGGGATAAAAGGATTGAAATAAACGAGAAGGATCAGACGGTTATACCTTCCTCGCCGCCTGGGCAGCAAGTTTTTTCTCGAGATTGGCTTTCCGGATGTCGGCAGCCGACCTAGTCGGTGTCTTCTCGGTGGGCAGCATTTTCTTGGCTTCTTCTGCAGAGGAAGGCACACGGTTAGAATAATAAATAAGCAAGGAAATAAAAGCATCCGGTTCGAAAGAAACCGGCTGAGTTCCGAATACATACGTTTTTTAAACATGCTGCTTAGACCACAAGCGGACAAGAAGCATTCGTCCCTAAAAAATTCATGTTTGGGCACCCAGTTTCTAGGTACCCTTACTATCTCTCCGGATGAGAGGGTGTCAGGAACTAACTCAAAAAACCCGGAGTCAAGGATGGTCTCTCTATCATCCTCCGGGACAGGGGGCAGGCAGCACTTGGTCCCCAAGAGTTCTGGTTTCCGGTTGTAGATCCAGAATTCTCTGTTCTCTGCCGTAGTTGGGGCCTTAACCAAGTAGAACCGGTGCTTCCAGTCCGACCATTTGGATGGCTTGTCCAAGGTCATAAGGTATTTGGGTTGGGTGGTCAAGGTATACCAGGCTCTCCAGCCGCCTGGGCTCCTACTCAAGTAATGCATGTGGGCAAACGCCTCCCAGCCGGGGTTGAGGCCCTGCATCTCGCAGGCGGCGATATACCCTAAAATATTTACCCATGAGTTGGGGGTTAATTGCCAGAGACCTAGGCCATACCCCATAAGTATGGCTTTTATTGTGTCGTGGAGAGGGAAGCGGACTCCGGCCACGAAGGCCGCCTCGTAGCACCCGAACCAAGCGTTCGCGTTCGGTTGTCCATCCTCCCACCATATTGTTCCCAGAGCAGCCGGGATTTTTATTGTATAGTCACCCCCCAGCGGCCGCCGTTTGATAAAATCTGGCAGCGCAGCCCGCATGAGCTCGCGGTCCTTAGAGGAGACGGCGATCATGAGAGGATCGTTCCTATTATCCCAAGAAGGCCTCTCCGCCTCCTCGCTATCCTCAGATTCGGTTAAGTAGCTGCTACTGCTACTTTGAACGTGACCGGCATCAGAGCCGGCTGGGGAGTTGGAGACCTCCTTATCAGAGCCTACCTGCTCTCTGGTCTCCTGGAGGGGAGCAGTCTCTTCGTTTAAAATGCTATCACCCGGGGTGCTAGGAGCGCCCCCGGGTGAGCCTCTCTGCTCTACCTCTCCTTGCTCTACTTCACCGCCTGAAGCTGGGACCTCAGGCGGCTGCTCATCTGAGCTCCCACTTCTGTAGTTGGGATCTCTGGCAGTAGACCGGATTCTGGCCATTGTGTCCTGCACAGACACAGAGTCGGTCGATATGGGTGTTGAAAAAGGGTTGTCCCAAAGAACAGAGGCGGCAGACCCAGTTCTAGACTCAGCCGTACTAATAAACCGGCTGAGTTCACAGCTAGGTTCCGGGTATGGGTATAAGGGGTCCATCTACTTATGAGACCAATGAACAAAAATGCGAGTAAAAGACTCAAACGAAAATACATGAAAAAGCTAGAAAGAATAGAGACGGTACCTAGAAGAAAATCTGGAAATTCTTTGGGATGCTTGCGAAGACGCAGGCGGTTCAAAATCCGGCTGGGTTTCTCTGATTACCCTCTCGAAAACCTTTGGCTAGCTTGCAACGACCCAGACGGTCTGTAGACCGGTTGCTCTCAACGAATCTCAACTCCGAATGCTCTCAACTCTCAAATTGCCGGCTGCTCTCAAATTTTCAGAAATTTGGCAAAGTTTGTAAATGAGAGCTCGGGGGACATCTTCTCCTATTTATAGAATTTGTCCCAGAAGGTGAAAAGTCGTGACTCTTCGCCTTCTGCTTTTCCATCCTTCAAAAAGAATCTGAAGAGTTGTAAAAAAAAAAAAAAAAAAAAAAAAAAAAAAAAAAAAAAACCTTTCACCGGCGCCACGTGGCACCCTGCCACGTCAGCACCAGTGAGGGGCAAATGTTTGGGGTAAAAATACCCTAAACACGTGGCCCAATGGCCTAGTGACACGTGGCATCCAGCCGTTGGTCAGCAGGGCTCCAATCCTCTGCTGACACGTGTCCTCTAAACCCTAAAAGGGAAACCATCCCTTCCCCACTATAAATAGTGGAAGGACCCTCATTAATGGGGGGCTGGAACATTTGTTGTTCACATTGAATACTCCTCAAAAAGAAAAACACTTACCCCGAGCAATATTAATTGCAGAATTCTTCCATTACGCGAGAAGTAACTTCTACATTACATGCATTCTACCTCCCGTATCTTTACTAACTTGATCGTCGGAGGCGGAGCTCCTACCCCCAGGAGTCTTCGTGATTTTGCAGGCACAGGCGTCGAAGGGCATTCTTGGAATTGTAACTCTCCCGCAGGACACATCAAAAAACCCCGAAACATTATCTGTTACAGCAAATGTTATTGTTTTATCTGTTACAGCAAACCAAATAACAACTCAAAAGTAATGTTCTACGTCGTTCTGGCTGGACACGTTGTCCTGTTGTGACCTTGCTGATGGCATCTGCTGCATCTGGTGGGTGGCCGGTTAGTCTCATGTATAGGTGAAGCTATGTGAGAGCTGAACGGCATGTGAAATTGATCGTCGTTCAACATTCGACTAAAAGATCCCATCCCATATTCAGCCGGGGGAGTGTCGTGTGAGGGCACTTGCGGCTGTGTGTTGTTACCGGAAATAAATGTAGAATGTGGTTCTGCCCTGGTACTTTGTTGGGTACAAATAGGCACCATCTCCACATAAATCTCGGTGGGAACACCCTTCAACGCTACAACGCTCCTTAAAGCTTTCAAATGCTTATTCGAGGACACAGGTAACACTTGAACCCCATTTCCGGTCTCAAACCTCATTTTAATGTTTAGTTCAACACTCCCCGGGTTTGAACTAACGCTACTATGAACCTCGTTCATGAAATCACTGAAGGTCATGTTCGGTTCAAGTGTCAGTGGTTCCATATTTCCACCATTATACTCGACACGAGGTCCGTCAAACAAAAATTCACCTCCCCACCGGCACAACAAAACTACATTCTGTGCGGCCATATTCTACACAACAACCAAAACACATTACACTAAAACACACTAATCCATCTCTAAATCACATCCAACTAACCACTTTGGAACAACTAAGCATCACTAGGTCACCATTAACAAGCAATAATTCTAGAAATTCAAATACTTAACATCTTCAATATTTCAACACCAACAATTCTACATTATCCAAATTAATATTTAACAATCACAATTCATCAACTCAACCCTAAACCCCTAAATTCAACAAAAACCCCCAAAATTCAGCATAAACCCTAGAAATTCAACAATTCAAGAAATTCAACAATAACCAATAATTCAACAACACTAACCAACAATTCAACAACACTAACCAACAATTCATGAATTCAACAACACTAACCAACAATTCATGAATTCAACAACACTAACCAACAATAACCAATAATTTTATCTTTTACTTTGTATAAAAAGGAAATATTACTAATGGATGTGTTATGTAGCATATGGGTGAATTAGGATGACATGTGTCATATAGGTGATTGTGGTTTGTCTTTTTAAATACTAAGTATAGATAGATATAGATATAGACTAGACTAAATTAGCCCCCTGTGATGTATGATGGATGATTCTATGATCATAGAAAATATTATCACCATAAGGTCAAAGTAGGCTAATGAGGTGTCACCCTCATGAAATTTTTTCAGTGGAGGCGGATGCACCATGCTTGGTGCATCCGGTTTTGTGTAAAAAAAAAAAGGCGGAATGAACATTCAGTTGTTTAGTAAAGAACATATACTTGTTTTATAAAGAACATATAGCTATTTTATAAAGAACATCTAGTTTTATATGTTTTTTTGTAAAACTAAAGAACATTTGTAATATTAGTAAAGAACATGATAATATTAAAAAAAAAAATTATTCGTATAGTAAATGTACATTTGGTATAAATGACCATGTATGCATATAAAAAAAGGTACATTTTATTGTATTATAATGTACATTGTATTATATTCTAATGAACATATATGTTATAATGTTGGTTACATGTTTAATGTACATTGTATTATTTGCATCATGCAAGTATATGAAAAAATAACATTTTACTGTATTTTAATGTACATTGTATTATTTGAATTTACAACTTTTTCTAAAATTGTCTATTTGCCTGCTTTGTTCTTCAAAAATGGATTAATTGGACGATCTTCTTCAAGAACTTTATTTTATTTCTCATTGAAATAACATCAAAATCGCAATTAATTCCCAATAAAAT